GATCATGTTTAATGTCCGTGTCACACCTATGCCGGTAGTTGTTGGGAGCACTTTGCTCGAAGTTTTTGAAGAGTACGTTTACCTGGGACAAATAGTCCGACTAGGTAAGTCCAACTTTGAGCAAGAGGTCAGTCGACGGATTCAACTCGGCTGGGCGGCAGTGAAGGACTCAAGGTCGCTCAGCGAGCTATGGAGAGGGCTATGCTCGGAGTTTCTCTGCGTGATAGACTTAGAAATGAGTATATCCGCATTAAAACCAGAGTGACTGACATAGCCCAACGGATTAGTAAGCTGAAGTGGCAATGGGCCGGCCATATAGCTCGAAGAACCGACGACCGATGGGGAAAAAAGGTTCTCGAGTGGCAGCCTCATACCGGTAGGCGAAATGTAGGGCGAACCCCCACTAGATGGAGTGACGACCTGGTAAGACATGCAGGAAGTCGATGGATGCAGGTGGCTCAGGACCGTGCTTTGTGACATACTTTGGGGGAGGCCTATGTTCAGCAGTGGACTTGTGAAGGGCTGTAATAATGATGATGATGATGAAGGATTATTCAAAAACTACTTTTCACATCTTGAACAAATTTATGTGGGACCACACGAGAAGATTTTTTTTTATAGGATAAGGTTAACAAAAGAGCACATAGCCCACCTGATAGTGACTAAGATGGAATGCCTTGTTTCAACGGTATTAAGCTGCTATTTTACGCTGGGATTCTGTGAAAGTGTGATCGCTCCCCTGGTCAAGTCGACCCATTCGTGCTACAACCATAATATAGCTGCAGCGTGGCTCTACCACGTATGATAGTATACGACGATACCACGTACGAAGTACCAGCTTTCAGATAAAAAAATCGCCAAAATCTGTTTACCCAGAGAAAAGTTCTGAGGTAACACATAAAAAACATACAGTCGAATTGAAATACCTCCTCCTTTTTGACAACGATAAAAAGTATTAAATGATTTCAACGCAATAACTTCTGATGTCGGAGCTGTCATTCTTCTATACCGACTTAGAAACTATCGTGTGGAAATTATTTTAATTTTTGTCATTTTTATTATTATTCTAAGCCAGCACTTAGCTACAACCCCACCTAATGGTAAGTGGCGATGTATGGCTTAACAAAAGCCTATTTACTCTTGCCTTGAAGACACCCCCACACTGTAATCGGATGGAAAGACAGATGTTGGCAACCATTGAAGTAATATGTAATTACGTACTACATAATAGCTCACTGCTCGCAACTTATTCCACTCCTTTACTGTACGCGTGATGAACGACGTAGCAAACCGTTTGGTTCAAATGCGTGGTAAGTCTACAACGAAAGGGTGGTCGTACGTCTGGTTGTCCGATGGTGGAAGGTAGAAGGAGGAATTAAATTATGGTTTTTGAAGTTGCATTTACAGAGTTTATTTTACAAGTATTGCACTTGACCAACTTTTACGATTGTTTTTAAAATAAAGTATACGAAATACGAAAGTTGCAGTGCTAAGCCTCTCAGCTACCAAGGCTCTATTGTTGTTACCCTTTCGTAAAGATTTTCTCTATCCATACCTTGAACGCTTAGTTGTAGGCCATAAAACCTTTTATAGGAGAAAGAAGGAAAAAAACAGCGACAGAAATGTCAAAATGTTAATCTTCTTGAAAAAGTCGCGTAGCGACTCGCGAGTCACCAATACATATGGATTGCCTGTATTGCATACATCGAATGCGAAGTGGAGATGTGTACTCCATTGTCACCAAACCAAAAAATCGCGACTCACTCAACTTAAATCTTTTCCACTTCTTTATCTTTTCCTCTTTGCATTGAGTCTCTGTCCGCAGAAGTGATAACGTATTTGCATTTTGATTCTAGGCTTTATGTGCTTTACGAGGCATAAAACACCGCCAACTTTTCTGAAAACAACTTTTTGACAGAAAAACCCAACAATTGATTTTGGCCCGACCCGGGATTCGAACCCAAAACCTCATGATATGCAATCACGTTTACGACAACTAGACTAAAGAGGCAGTCATCACCATCAATAGTACTCATTTATCACCCTCATCTTTTATATAAGACAAAGAAATATAGAATTTTTTCATATTAAATGTTTTATATTAAAGTACAGGATATTTATAACATCATCCTAATAATTCGTGATTAAACGAACTGAAAAATTTTACGCATTAAGGACAAGTTATACAATGGCGGCGTAAAAGACAAAATGGCCGTCGGAAATGAGCCGAGAGATAACGACTCGTTTCCAGCAATATGGCGGTGCGCGTTTCCGCTTTGTCTTTGCCAGCGGAATTAATACGCTTGTTCAGATTTATTTATAGTACCGTTCAAACTTGTTATAAAGTTTAATTAAGGTATTCGAGCTAATAATATATTTTTTATTTTCAAGAATAATATTTCTTAAAATGATTTAAAGAAAAAACTAGCATTATTATACATTCCTACTTCCCGCGGTATAGTGCCTAGAACGCTGGCGGCATTTCCCTGCTGAATGTCCATACTGACTTTAAACGAGAAAAGAACCAGCATTCTTTTCGCCAGTGGCACAATAAGTTGCAGATGCATTACCTTTAAGAACTTCATCGTAAGTGAATCGATTTTAACTACACCAAATGGTACCAATATGTAGTCATTAGAGACTCATCTTTTATTACAAAAAGGAATGTAATATTTTTTTCTAAATTTAACTATAGAAAATAAAAATATTTAATGTTATTATAACAAGAACTGATTCTCCATTTTCGTCTCCTCGTAACAGTTTTAAGACATGCTTTCGACATATGTCCCTCTCGTCCTAGGAAGGAGTAAGAGAGAGAAAAGGAGGCATTAGACCTCTCGGCCTCTCACAGATTAGGATGTGTTTGCTTTCCTGTCGCGGTTCTAGGCATTTTACTTTCCTTTAAAGTGACCGTACTTTAAACCGTATTATGTATGCAGCATTGTTGGGTCGAAACAGCCGGTGAAAATTACGTTCTCTCGGAATACTAGCGTAAAATAGCAGCTTAATGTTTCGTATAGTAAGTGTAGAGAACTGTACTGTACTGTAGTAAGTGTACAGATCCTTTTTACCGGTATCGAGGCATTCCATTACAGTTAGGGGTGACAACTGTATTGTTGTAGTGTTAGTTAACCCATGAACAGCCCTTCAACGTTATCGATATAAAAAAATCTTATATTTTGCAACCTTTATATATATATATATATATATATATATATATATATATATATATATATATATATATATATATATATATATATAACATATAAGCAAAAAAATTACACGAGTACACAGTCCACCTAATTGTAAGTGGATGCTGTGGCCCATAGACATCTACAATTCAATTAAGAATCAAAATGCATATACGTTGTCACCCCTAAAGACTAAAATGGAATCCCTCGTTTCCACTAAAAATGGGTTTCTGGTTCCCTATACTCACGATACGAAACGCAGTAGTATTAAGCTGCTATTTAAAGCTGGTATTCTGTAAGAGCGTGGTTCCTTCCCCGGTCGAGCCGACCCATTCGTGCTACAACTATACTACTAATATATCTGCAGCATGGCTCTACCACGCGTAAAATGTGTTATTAAACCTCCATTTGCGACAATATACGAACATGTCTTGTTTGACACATCTATTGCACATTATCTTTCAAATTATATACGTTTTCCCCTCCTATTATAATAAATACTTAAAGGAATGTACGTCAATTTTCGATATAATTAATAATATTAGTACCGAACAACCGAGGTTTACTCGTCAATAGAATAATTATATTTTAAAAAAGTTAAACCGACTTCGAAATCAAAGTAAAATAAAATGAGAACATCATCAATGTAGTCGAAGTCAATTAAATACGCGTTATATGGGATATACGCATTGTATAGGATAACTCAAAAACTACTGGTCAGATCTTGATCAAATTTATATGGGACCATATGAGAAGCATCGGCTTTCTAATAAATAAAAAAACGAATCCTCAAAATCGGTTGACCTAGAAAAAAGTTCTGAGGTAACATATGTATTTCTTCTTTTACTGTTATATTTTGTACTATAGGTTTTATTTTTATATTAGCGCCCGCCAATGTATTTAAACTTAACCTCTCATTCCCCAAGCGGTCGAATCCGACCGCGGCGCTATTCCGTCAAAATTCAAGCGTTTGGATTTGACCGCGCACAGCACTTTAAACCATTAAAACTTATATTTAGAGACTACTTTTCTAAGAAGAAGTTTGGCATTATAGAATCAATATGAAATGTTCTATCCTCTAGTTCAATAAACAATTAAATTATCTTATGGATATTTATTTATAATCTACATTCATTTCGTACGCCATTTTTGTGTTGATTGTTGGATTTTTCTAGTGTTTTATTAGTGTTTTAGTATAGTGTTTTATTATAAAATAGTAATAAAAATGTTTGTGTGAATATAATTTATCTTTTTACGTAAATAATTGTGAGTAATAATAATAATAATAATATTAAGGCGTAGGGAAGTTACGACCCCATCGCCCGCTGACGTAACGGTTATGTGACAAAACCGCTACGTCAGCGCAATCAGTCAGCACCTTGCCAAGAGGTGTTAGTGCCGTGCCTCGGCAAAAATTGAAGGTGCAAAGGCCCGCTTGTGCACATGGCCTCACCATGAAACGGCGGGCGGGTCTGGGCGTCTCCCGCTAAATGACGCCCTAAAAATGGATTATGGAATTAAATAGAACGCGCAAAGGGCCGCTGCCTGGCGGTCGCCAGGGCGCGTCTGGAGCTGGCGCTGGACGCGACAGCATGCGAACCGCCAGCCGAGCGCGAGGTGCTGCACGACCACCCAGCAGCCCCTCGCATCCATCATCCCCACCAGCTGGCTTGGTGTCGGCAGGGTCTTCGCGGGCCCAGCAATCGGCACCCGCCTCTGGTGGAGTACGCCGCATGCGTTGGACAACCCAGATGAACAGCAACGCATTGCGGGCGTATTTTAGGGCTTTTTTTTGCGTATCGGGCAAGGATGCATCGACGTTTTGCTGAGCTGGAGCCATCTGTAACCGTCACCGAACAAAACCTGGCAGACCGAGTTCGGTATATCTTGCGCTCAAATACATTTGATGTTACGGAACTCGAACGGCTACGACGTGAGGCTGTTCCTTCATCGGCTGAAAATGCTGCGGCTGAGGATGCGGCGCCACAACTTGCTGAGCAAACGGCAGATGTAGATGCCGCCGTGAACACGCCAGTTGTGGTTGATTCAGACGATGATGGAACAGTCGCCCAGGAACTGGAACTAGAGCAAATGAGGAGTACATTGGAAGAGGCGATTGTGGAAACGCGCAGTATGAAAATCGACCGCGACTTCCCCGCTTAGCCCTAAGCAAGCGGAATCGGGCCGTCGTGAGGGCTCTGAACCCAATGCTGGTTACCTATTTGGAAGCCAGCCAGGACCGTCGGACCTTTGCGAGACGACTCAATTCTTTTTGGCGCCGCCCGCCGTATTATAGGCGCCAAACTTTCCACGGCTGGACGCGCTACTGGACAAAGTAGTGCTATCCCAGCCTGGAGAATAAGAATTGAAGGACGTATCGCAAAGGCTAGGGCCCTCATCGGCAGACTGATATGCTTCAGGTCAGGCAATACCAGGCCAAGGATTATGCGCACCGTCAGGATGACGTTTGCTGGGACAAATGTTAGTTTGTCCCAGCCGGATATAATGCAAAAATTGACGGAGCGCATAGACGACCTGAAGCAAAGAATCCTACTTGGAGAAAGCGGATTTGGCGATATACCGAGAGGCCGACACGGTTCAACCAGAATCGTCTCTACCAGAGTGATCAGAAGAGGCTCTATAAATCATTGGAGCGACCAATAGTAAGAGGAACGGGCCCAGCACCAAATCAGGCCGACACGGTCGCATTCTGGCGCAGCCTGTGGTCAGAGCCCGTAAACCACAACGAAGGCCCTTGGACGGAAGTTGTAGCGCGTCAATGTGCGGGTATTACGCCCATGGACCCCGTCATCATAACGCCGGATGACGTAGCTGAGGCGGTCCGTAGGGCCCCGAACTGGAAAAGTCCGGGGCTTGACGGGCTGCATCACTACTGGCTGAAGGAGTTCATGGTGTGTCACGCTGTGCTCGTCCGACAGTTTCAAGAGGCTCTCAACCAAAAGTCGCTCCCAAGCCTCTTCACTACTGGGATCACTCATTTGGTTCCTAAAGATCAGGATGCCACAGACCCGAGCAAATACCGCCCCATCACGTGTCTACCGACCATATACAAGACACTAACATCCATTTTGAGCGCGAGAATCGCTCGTCACCTGCACTCTAATCAGGTGATGTCGCGCGCTCAAAATGGATGTCGGGGCGGCGGTCGTGGAACCAAGGAACCACTCCTCATTGACGCGGTCATTGGCAAAGTGGTGAAACGCAACCGTCGGAACTTCTCCGCCGCCTGGATAGATTACAGAAAGGCATTTGACTCGGTGCCCCATACATGGCTAAAGAGGGTTCCTCGAGCTGTACAAGATTGACTGTACAGTTCGACTTCCTCGAGCAGTGTATGGGGCAGTGGAGTACGATCCTCTGTCATCTAGGCGAGTGGATGACGGCTGCGGAAAGCCGCACAAGGATAAGAAGGGTTATATTCCAGGGCGACTGTCTGAGTCCAATCTGGTTCTGCCTCTCTTTGAACCCTCTCAGTACTTTACTGGAGGGCTCCGGGAGGGGATTTCAGCTTCGGAAAGGAGGTGTAAAAGTAACCCACCTTTTCTATACGGATGACCTCAAGTTATTCGCCTCCAGTCGCTCCCATCTTATGGAATTGCTAACCATCACTTGTGAATTTAGCAATTCTATTAGAATGGAGCTGGGGACGGATAAGTGTGCGGTCATTCCATGTTGAAAGGGGAAGGGTTGCTAACTCTGAGGGCATAGACTTATCTATGCCCGTCAATTTAAGGGCCCTTTCCGAGGCTGAAACATACCGATACCTGGGTATGTCACAGAACATCGGTATCGATGAGGCTGGTATGAAACAGTCAGTTTGCGACGTGTTTTATGCACGCTTGACCAAAGTGCTTAACAGCCTTTTGTCCGGTGTGAATAAGACACATGCATATAACGGTTGGGTCATGCCTGTCCTCATGTATACCTTTGGCGTACTCAGGTGGACTCAGACTGAACTTAACGCCCTGGATAGAAAAGTCCGCACTACAATGACGTCCCATAGGATGCATCATCCGAGATCGTCGGTAATGAGGCTGTACTTGCCGCGAAAGCATGGTGGGCGTGGCTTCCTGCGCGCTCACCATGCATAATCGCGAAGTGTGCAGCCTCCGTCATTACTTCCTGGCGAGATCGGATGATCCATTCCATAATGACGTCATTTCTAGTGATAAAGGACTTACCCCTCTATCCTTAGCCAAGGAGCAATGGCAAGACCCTGCAGTACAGAGCATTTCCGACCGGGAGACCGTATGGAAGGAGAAGGAGCTCCACGGGAGGTACTACAGGGCTCTACATGAGCCTCACGTAGATACAGCCGCCTCCCTCAACTGGCTACGTTTCGGTGACCTCTTCGGGGAAACCGAGGGTTTTGCCTGTGCAATACAGGATCAGGTTATTAAGACCAACAACTATCGGAGATACATCCTAAAGGATGGCACTATCGACGTCTATCGAGCTTGTCGCCATTCCGGGGAGTCACTTAGGCATGTCATCTCCGGTTGTTCGGCGCTTTCTAACTCTGAGAACTTGCACAGGCACAACCTAGTAGCCAGAATTCTACACCAGGAGCTCGCTCTGAAATACGGTCTCGTGGACCGAAAATTGCCGTATTACAAGTACTTGCCGGAAGCCGTGCTCGAAAATGACCGCGCCAAGCTCTACTGGGACCGGGCCATCATCACAGACAGGACTATTCTTGCGAATAAGCCTGATATTGTGCTGATGGACCGGGCACAGTCAAGGATATTTTTGATCGACATTACCATTCCGTATGACGAGAACCTCGTGAAAGCCGAAACAGAGAAACGAACAAAATATCTGACCTGGCTCACGAGGTGACCGACATGTGGGGTGGTCTGCCGACCGAAATTATTCCTGTAGTCATCTCTGCGAATGGGCTAATCCCAGTCAGCCTCTCGGGTCATCTGAGGCGACTGGGACTCCGTGACGGACCGCTCGGGGCTCAAATGCAGAAGGCGGTGCTCCTCGATACCGCCCGCATCGTCCGCCGGTTTCTTTCCCTTTCCCCTAACCCTCGGCCGTTTGGTCTCCCCTGCCGAGGGCTCCCATCTGGTTGGATCTTATTTATTTATGTAGTTTTTGTGTTTATTTTATTTTATTGATATTTATGTATATTTATCTTTTCATTTTAATTTATAATTATATATTTATAGAACCCAACCAGGTGAGAAAATTATATAGATAAAAAAAAATAATAATAATCATTTTGTTTTTATTTTCTCTCCACAATAATATCGAATTTTGACAAAAAAGGCACAATTTAATGTGAGAGACTGATGCCTAAACTAGGCGACGAACCTGTATTTCAGGTCATCAGGTCTCCCTCCCAGTTAAACAAATACAATAGTATATTATCTTGGAATACATATTTTAACAATAATGATACGTTATAATCCATTTGCGCGTATATACATAATTTAACAATAATGATAAGTGTGTGTGTGTGTGTGTGTGTGTGTGTGTGTGTGTGGTGTGTGTGTGTGTGTGTGTGTGTTCGTGTGCTGTGTGAATGCGAAAATTACAACATTTACACATGTGATGTAAAAAGATCTTCCGTATATTTATAGTCCGTCTTCAGTAACCATTCATGGATACATTTTTTAGCTTTTATTTTAGGTAGGACGTGAATATTAAGTTCCTTATTAACTTTATTATACAGGTATCCACCAAGATAGCAAAAAAATCTCCTAGAAAAGTAGGTACAATGGTCATAATGAGAGGCACATACCCAGTCTTTGCGTCTCATGTGCTGTGAATTCTTTTGGTCATATTTTAATTGAGTATTTTTTTGATACTGTGTATAAAATAAACAGGTACCGGATTGTAAGAACTTTGGAAATATTATGAAGTTGACTGGTTGGAAATTTAAATGGAAGAGAGTTACTTACTTTTAAGATTAACCTTTGTGATCTTTCGAGGGGCAAAATAGATGATTTGGTAGCCCCACCCCAGCACGTAATACAATATATCATTAAAGATTGGCATAGAGCAAAATAGACAGATTTAATAGTGTTAGAATCTGCTATGCAACGGAGTTTTTTAAAGATATATGTGAATTTCCGAATCCCATTTGAAAGTGAATAAATATGCTCATGAAAAGTTAGCTTATCATCCAACTAAATGCCAATTAATAGGTATTTAATTGAATTCACTTTTTGCAAAGGTGTGCATGAACATGTCAGACAATAAGGAAAATTGCAGGAATGAGCAGTAATAACATGGTCTGTGCAGGTTGCATATTTATTATTATGTTTGGAGAAGGACAAGTACTTTGTATTATCCACGTTGAGGGTTAACACATTATCGCGCAGCCATTTGGACACTATGTTTAAGCCAACCTGGGCGAAGTTAAACACATCTGGCCATGAATCACCAGTAAATAGCAGTGCTGTGTCATCAGCAAACATACCTATTTTTCCGTTCACTAGTTTCAGTTTGCAGAGGTCATTAATGTAAAGAAGAAATAAGGTACGGCCAAGAATACTTCCTTGGGGAACACCGTAGCAGATGGGAAGCTCATCACTAACATGTTTATCAATATTCACCAACTGTGTTCTATCTGTAAGATACAAACTCTGAAAAGCTGCAACGGTACACCCCTTATACCAAGCTTCTCCATTTTATGCAACAATATGGGAACAGAGACCGTGTCAAAAGCTTTAGCCAAATCTAAAAATATTCCTATTGTTTTCTTTTTTCTCAAGGCTAAGTACAATAAATTCAATTAGTTCATGAACCGCATCAGCTGTAGATTTACCAGAACGAAAACCAAATTGATTTGGCGAAAGTATAGAATTTTTATCAAGATAATTTTTTAACCTATTATTCATCACGCGTTCTAGTATTTTAGATAGGGACGGTAATATAGATATTGGTCTATAGTTGCTTACACAGTCTCGGTCTCCATTTTTGTAAACAGGATGAATGAGGGATTTTTAAAAGCTGTTAGGAATATGCTATCAGTGAGGACCGGGTTATATACGTGGGTAAGTGGAGGTACAATAAATTTTTCATTTTGTTTTATGAAACTACCGGATATTTTATCCCAGCCAACGACACAGTCACTTCTAAGATTATTTATTTCAGATGTAATTTCAGCTTCATCAGTAGGCAAAAGAACC